TTTCTGATGAAGGGTCTAGGCCCGAAACGTCAGCATTTCTGCTCCTATGATGCTGCTTAGCCTGCTGTGTTCATCCAGCTCTGCATCTTGTTGTCTCGGATTCTCCAGCATCTGCAGTTCCTACTACCACTGTGTACTTCTCTGTTACACTTCACATGTGAGTTTTTTGTCTCTATTTCTGTATCCTCCTAACAGTTCATTATGCTTCATCATGTGTCATTTGCAAAGTTACGTCAATTATAAATATTAATCAAAACAGTTGTCCTAATACTGCCCCAGCAGCATCACTATCTACCTTCTTCCAGTTTACAAGACAGTTGTTCACCACAACGCTGTCACCGATCAATCAGCTAAATTCACATCTTTGCCTATTCCATAGGCTTCAAAATACTTTGTGGAAATTTATGTTCACCACGCTAACAGCATTATGTGTATCTGTTGTTTCACTTTGTGTTAGCAAAAAGTCTCAATCAAGTTAAACTCAGAAATCTAGGATCCAGATAACTCTTATGCACCAGCTTTACTACTGTATGCCTTTAAGCTGAGCTTGTTTAGAAAAATCACGAGTTTTATAGTAATACTAAAAAGAGAACTGTTCCATTCCACAACCACCAGGAGGACCAAATATACTCATTCATTGACATATCTGGAAGCTATTATAGGAAATTATACACTCATTTAAATTCCTCTCTTTTGAGGGGCAAACTAAACATTGCAACAATGCAATTAAAACAGCGGGGAGGTGTTCTTCAGATAAATATGGCCTTGCTTTCCGATGATATTGATTCAATCCATACTTGAAATAGCATCCTCCAAACTGAATTATGCCAGTAATTGTTTTATTGTAATAACAAAGATTGCATGATTTTAGCTATTATTTCCTGTATTACATTAGCATAGTTTGCAAGAATAAAATAGATTGCAGCTTTGCCGTTTTGAGCAAATCTGGCATTTTTGCAAACAGAGAATGCTCAATTACAATCAAGAGTTCCTTGTTTTAATGTTGGACTTTTTTTGCTGCAAAGGATCTTCAAGCTGCACAGCATCACACAATCACACCTGCAGTGCTTTTCATTCCTTAGTCATTTGTAATTTTGCACACATTTGAGGAATCTAATATAAAAAATAGTAGCTTCATGCATGTCTATGTAATGTTATGTGCAAATATTTGTGGTGTTATTAGTGATTGGATTGGATATTCAAATGTAAGAAGAGAAGTCGAAGGCTTTATTCCTATGAGAATATAGCCTCAGTAACCAATGCATTCTAATTCAATCCATCTCCCATTTCTCCCAGTTTCAAATTTTGGGGTTCCTGCCAGCTTTCTCGCAAAAATTAGACAATGCCATTGACACGCCAACTGTTTCCTTAGTGTCTGAGAATGAAGCTATAAAGATTTACAAGAGAGGTGAATAGCACGATAACTCTTATTGGGATGCTATAGGGATTTTATATTTGGAAGAAACTTCTATAAACTGTAATTATATTGACTGTGGACTGTGGAATAAGTGTTATACTAGGCAGATAACCTAAAGTTTTTTTATCCTTTGATAGGATGTGGGTGTTGATGACAAAGCCAGTATTTTTTGCCCATCCCTAATTGCTCATGAAGAGAGTGGTTTACTAAACTATTTCAGAGGGCAGTTAAGAGTCAACCACATTTTTGTGTGACTGAAGCTACATACAGGTAAGGATGGCAAACTTCCTTCCCTAAAGGACATTAATGAACCTCCAGATGAGTTTTTAATGACACTTGACAATGATTTCAGTATTACTGAAGCTAGCTTTCAATTCTAGATTTTATTAAATGAATTGAAATCCACCAGTTATTATGATGGGATTTGAGCTCGTGGCCCCAGAGAATGAGCCTGGGCCTCAGAATCTCTAGCCCAGTGACAGTGTCACCAAGCTTCCATCTCCCCTGACATGGGTCAAAGATATTGGTTTTAAGGATCAACTTAAAATAAATTAAAGCAGGATAGAGATGAATGAGGTTTACAGAGGGAACTGGGACCTAGGAAGCTGAAGGCACAGCCATCAGTTGTGAAAGAATTAAAATTTGGGGCAGCTCGTGAGGTCAGAATTAGATGAGTGCTAACTCATCTCGGAGAGTGGTGGCCTAGATGAAGTCACAGGTGTAGGGAGAGATAATTTCAAAATGAGGATTAAACTCCAACATTCAAGAAGTTGCTGAAACAGAAGCCAAAGTAGGTTAGCAAGCACAGGGGTGTGTTAGCGTGTGGGCACCAGCTTTTTGGATGAGCTTGAATTTATGAATGATGGAAAATGGAAGACGTCAAAGAAGATCTTAGGAAACCAGCTCGAGAGGCAACAAAGGCATGGCTGAGGGGTTCCAGGAGTTGATGAGCTAAAACAGGGTCGAGTTGATCAAAGTTATGGGAATAGATATAGGCCGAATGGATGCCAATACATGGAGTGAGGTTTATCTTAGACATGAGTGATTTAAAGCTTGGTTCAACCTTAGACAGGTGGCAGGAATTTTCATGCTTCATTTTCTTTAAGCGCTTATTAATAACAAAAATACCAAGAATAGAATTAGAAGAAAATTTGCAGTGGGGTAGATAGTTGGATTTGGGAGGTTTTATGATAAAACCTTTAAGGATACATCTCACCAGTGTTGGCAACTCCTGCAAAGGACCAAGGTGAGAAATAGAGATTAGTGGGAAAAAAAACATGACAATTAATCTACATCTACATCTCAGGATACCAAAGGAGGTGGCCATGGAAATAGTGGATGCTTTCATTGTCATCTTTGAAAATTCTGTAGATTCTGGAACAGTCCTGGCAGATTTGAGGGTGGCAAATCTAACTGGACTATTTAAAAAAGGAAGGAGGGAGAAAAGCAGGGATTATTTATCAGTTAGTCTATGTCAGTGTTGGGAAAAGTGCTGGAGTTTATTACACAGCATGTAAAGGCAGAACACTTTTTGAAAAGAAATCCAAAATGTATTACACAAAGATAACGTGAATTTATGAAAGAGAAATAGTGTTTGACAACTGGTATTGTTTGAGGACATAATTAACAGAAGGGATAAAGGTGAATCAGTGGATCTGGTGTTTTTAGATTTTCAGTATATTTTTAATAAATTTAATAATGCACTTGAGGTATTTGTGCAAATTTAAAGAACAGTGTTAATATACCAGCATGCATTTAGAATTGTTAACTATAGGAATAAATGGATCATTTTCAGAGGATGGTGATAAGTGGGGAACTGCAGCATTCAGTTCTTGGGGCCCCAGCTATTCACAATATATGATCAATGATTTGAAAAGGGGAATCGAGTGTAAACTTTTCAAATTTTCTGACAACAAACAGCTAGGTAGGAATGTGATTGAAGAGGTTGTGAGGAGGCTTCTGTGCAACTTAGACACATTGAGTGGGCAACTAGATGGCAGATGCAGTATAACATGGTTAACTGTAAATGTGTCATGAACTGGTAGGAGAAACTGGAAGTATGGTATTATTTAAATGGTAATAGATCGGAAAATGTTGATATACAAAGACATATGGGTGACTTTGTACATTGGTCATTGAAAGCAGACGTGCAAGTACAACAAGCAATTAGGAAGGCAAATGGTATGTTGACCTTTCGTTGCAAAGCGATTTGAGTACAGGAGCAAGGAAGTCTTAAATGTAGATGTATAAGGCCTTCATGAGACCACAATTACAATATTGTGTATAGTTTTAGTCTCCTTACTGCAGAAAAGGTCTTGATGGAGTAGTGATGATATTTGAAGACAAATGTTTTTGAATCCAGCACCAGAAAAATTATAGAAACCAGGATATGACTTTCAGTGCTGACCAATGGGTCGCCCTTTTCTGTTTTATCAGTTTCTTTGCTTTCATGACTCATATATTTTTCATGATTTGTTGTTTAAGAAGCGATTGGGACTGTATTCAGTGGCGTTTAGAAGAATGGGAGAATCTCATTGAAATGTGGTAAAATTCTGACAGGCCTGGACAATTTGGGGTCTAGAATAAGGAGTCACAGTCTCAGGATAACGTAGCCATTTTCAACTGAAATGAGAAATTTTTTTACTCCGAGAATAGTGAACTTGTGGAAGGGGTGGAATTCTCTGCCAAAGAAGGCTGTGATGACACAGATTTTGAACATACTTAAGGAAAAAGATAATAAAGATGTATTTCTAGAAACTAAATATGTAAACGAGTATGGCATTGATCATGTTGATTGGTGGAGTGGGCTCAAAGGACCAAATGGCCTATTCCTGCTGTTATTTTCTATGGTTCTTTAACCAAAGAATAAGAAAATCATGAAAAATATATGAGTCATGAAAGCAAAGAAACTGATAAAACAGAAAAGGGCGACCCATTGGTCAGCACTGAAAGTCATATCCTGGTTTCTATAATTTTTCTGGTGCTGGATTCAAAAACATTTGTCTTCAAACATCATCACTACTCCATCAAGACCTTTTCATAAAATTCTCAAACTGTTAATCATCAAGTTCGTGTCATCTTTATCTTTCAACACAATGCCTCACAGCTTTTTTATTAATATCTGTTACTCTGACCGTTCAGCTTGGATGCTGATTCAGGTTCTGGATTGCATAGGGACTGGATTCCTTATTCAGCCACATTTCCTTGTCCCGTTGTTCTTTCTGTTCATCTCTGTCCGCCATCACAGCTGCTACCTCAGGGCTGAAGATATTGTCTGAGGTCCTGTATTGTCTGGTTAACCGTCTAAATGAGACATCAGAGGAAGCATCATCATCATCATTGTCATCTGAAATCTTGGTGTGTCCATTTTCACACTCCTGGTTGTCTTCTGGCTCTCTGAGGAGCTTCCTAAGATCTTGTCTCACCAACACATGAAATCCAAAAGCACAGAGGGTGAATACTAAGCCAGAACAAACGCCTGACACAAAGTACAGGGCCACCTTCTCTGGGAGACCTGAGATGAAACAGATTTGGCAAAAATCAAATCTTGTTATGCAATCTGGAAACTAAGTTATTAGCCATCTAGCTTTTGAAATGCCCTCCAGGGAATTTCTGAAATGTATACCAGAGATCAAGGACAGAATTTTAACCACACCACTCGCCCAAAAGAAATGATTTTGATTGGGTGGTGTTTTAAAATGTTAAAAATCTTAAACATGTACCCAACCTGCCTTGACCACGGACATTTCCTGTTTAAATGGAGGCAATCAGAAAGCAGGCAACTAACTTGTTTCACGAGGCTGATTGATCATTTATTATTTAATAAGGGTGCATATATCTCATTTTACCTCCATTTTAAATTTAGACTGGTTGTCTGGGTTTCTTGGACCTCAGGAAACCTGGCAATGGAATGGCTATAAAAACAGTTGGATCGGGGAAATTAGCATCTCTCCAGCACTGCTGGTGGGCCAAGAAAAATACTGGGACTTCCTCCTGACATACTAAGCTAACTTCCCACAACCACCTTCTGCCCAACTATTCCCCACCCTCCCACTTCGCATTTCACACAGTTCCACTAAACTGTGGTCAATAAATCTGTTTTCCAACCAGCCTTCCTTATCATTTTCTTCCTCCGCTCTATTCCCCGAATGTAGCCAGGTGCTGTAGACTTAAGACTCAGTAGGCAATCTCTCAAATTGACTAGCTAGGGATCAAAGACAAACAAAAATGTTAACCTATGTTAAAGTCCTATATTAAATCCAGTAAAACCTGAGAGAGATCTCTTGTTCTGAGATCCTTGAATGTAAGACTAACATTCAACCCCCATTTCCTCCAGCTTCCCTGTAAAAAATCAGGCCGAAAGATCTGTAGATTTTCTCACACATAATGTAACGAGATTAATTATTAATGTTTTCAATGAATTTACGTCAATGGCAATCATCAAGAATTAAGCCAAGATCTGAACAACTGTCCCACTTTATCCTGCTCTTTATTTACATTGAATTTGGTCGAAAGTGCACTGGAAGGGGTGGCCATTTAAACTGTAATTTCCAGCCAATATTACCACATTTCTGAGTTGTTAGTGACATCTTGGGAGTGGAAATTCAAATAATAGACTAAATCTCAGATCTATGTAAAAAAAGACCGACCCATTCAACTTTAGTCAAGTCAGTTGCTTCAACTATTTTCTTTATATAAAAAGAGAAATCTATGCATACTTTTCGGAGGTTATATTAAATCAATACTGGGTTTGTTATCCATAACTGGGGAGACAATAGATCAAAATATAGGTGAAAATGAAAGGAATGTTAGCAGGTTAGCTGAAAATAACCAAACTCATTGCTAATACATTATACTATTACTAAATGTATTTAGTTATCTTAATTTTAAAGCATTATTAGAGTCACATTAGCAGCACAGAGAAACATACCCCTAAGGTGGGCAAAAGTGGCCAGAGAACTGCTAACAATCACGACATCTTTGGCATAAAGCCTGGATATTCTTGGGCCATTATACCAACCACCTGCAGCAAATGAGTACAAACTACCTGAGAGTGCTTTCAAAACTGGCTATCTCTACTGTTCAGAACTTGACTGTGTAAAGGAATCTATGGAGAATGGGTCTCAACCAATTTTAAGCTGAAAATGATGAAAATAGTATGCACAGATTTGGAATTATGCCCTGTAAATGTGAAGTATCACATTTGTACACAATGTGAGATGTGTTAAAATAATTGTTATCTTTTTCTTTAAGATAACAGATGCAGTGCTAATGCATACTGTATTTGTGCCCTGTTATTCATGCAATAATTTTGAAGGCAAATGTTTTATAGAATTGAGTCATCATTTCCAATTTCTGCAGATTTTGTCAATATATATTTCCATTTGTTGAAGCAAAGACATTTTCATAATTTCCTGATGGGCAGTACATATACTTATAACCAAGGTTTTATTTTAAATCTTCAATAGAATGTGGGCATCGCTGGAAAGACCAGCATTTGTTGCCCATCTCTAATTACCCTTGAACTGTATGGCTTGCCACATCATTTCAGAGGGCAGTTGGCCAACCACATTGCTGTGGGTCTGGACTCGCATGTAGACCAGAAGGATGACATCATTTCTTTCCTAAGTGGACATTAGTGAACCAGATGGGTTTCTACAGTAACTGACAATGGTTCCATCGTCGTCATCATCACTGGAACTAGCTTTATATTCTAGATTTATTAATTGAATTCAAATTCCACCTGCTTCTGTGGATTACTAGATCAGTCAAATTTCCACACACCACTATCCTCATTTGTTAGATCTGTTCTTTCAGTTATTTGTGCCCAACTTACAGAATGTCTATTTTGGTCATTTATGATCCTTATTTTTATTCTCTCTCTCAAAGAACTACAGCTTCCCAAGATATACAGTTTGATGCTGCACCTGACTACATCACCCATTGTGCATTCTTCAGTAGATGTCAGCAGGCTGTGAAAATGCCATTGCTGAAATGATCTGTACATGAGTTTCTTGACTTTTTTTTGTTTATTACTAATTCTTCTGAAGGCATTGGCTTCTCATGGAACACAAACACCAGCATCCTTAAGGTATTTTGCTCAAGTGCTGTATCTTTATCAACTCTAAGTCAGTGAGTATTGTAGACTGTACAACCTTCAATAAAAGACATTATGATTGATCTCACCCATTATCTGTACGTGCATACTTTGTAGTGATTCAGTCCGAGAGGCCTGACCAAACTGTCCTCTCCCATGTACAGGCTTGCAGGGGTCAATTGTAGTATCTTGCTTTTGACTTGAGTAAGATCAGTTAATTATGTGGTCCAATCTGGGGCCTTTGTTCTTGTTTTGGAATAATTTGGGAAAGAAAATTAAATCGGGTGTGAAAAGGACTGTCAATTCGCCGTAATGCTGCCAGAATAAGTTAAAATGACTTCCCTGTCTTGTTTTTGACTTATTTACCACCGGATGAGGGTATTGCAATTATCAGTTATATTTGTTAGTTTCCTCTGCTTTGGCAACGTCTAATGCTTTGGGACAAGAACTATTTGCTGTTGGATAAAGTCTTCACTGAAAAATAAATACGAAATTGTGGAGGCTTTTTTTTTCAGTAACTGACTAATTTGCAAAATATATCTTTTACACAATTGCATGAAAAAGACAAACATTTGAATTTGTACCATGAGTATAATCTGATATTAGGAATGGCTTCACTGCTCCTTGACCAGTTTCTTCAAACAGCTTTTTTGGAACTGAAATTTAAAAATACAGACAATTATGCAAATGGTTATCGTTTATCTAGAGTCATAGAGATGTAGAGCATGGAAACAGACCCTTAGTCCATGCTGACCAGATATCCTAAATTGATCCAGCCCCATTTGCCAGCATTTGGCCCATATCCTTTGAACCCTTCTTATTCATATACCCATCCAGATGCCTTTTGAAGGTTGTAATTGTACCAGCCTCCACCACTTCCTCTGGCAGCTCATTCCATACACGCACCACCCTCTACATGAAAAAGTTGCCCCTTATTACCCTTTTAAATCCTTCCCCTCTCACCTTAAACTTATACCCTCTAGTTTTGGACTCGTCTACCCTGAGAGAAAGTACTTGGCTATTCATCCTATCCATGCCCCTCATGATATCTCTTTTACTAGTAATACTTCTAAGTCTCTGATTTTCTTACCACATGTGTATGATACTTGGAGTTGTTTGCGGACTCCAGGGAAACACGGATCACCAAAACTCAGAACACTGGCAACAATCGAACAATTCGGTTTGCCGTGACACCTCGATGACATTTGCCTCAGAGCTGTAGGTGACAAGCACTCTTAAAAAGAAAAAAGTTATTCTAACCATTGCACCATCTAATGTTCTCCAAATACTTGGCCCTCATTAGTGAAAGAATTTGAGTATGGCAGTAAGAGTGTCTTGCTGTGCAATTGTACAGGGCCGTGGTGAGGCCACATTTATAGTATTGTGTGAAGTTTTGGGCTCCTTAACTGAAGAAGGCTGTTGTGGCTATGGAGGGAGTGCAATGAAAGTTTACCAAACTGATCCTTGGGATGGCAGGACTCGTGTTTGAAGGGATCAAAGGGTGTGGGGAGAGAACGGGAACAGGGTACAAAGTTGGATGATGAGCCATGATTGTATTGAACAGTGGAACAGGCTTGAGCAGTTGAATGGCCGACACCTGCTGCCATTTTCTATGTTTCTATGTTTACATTTTAAATCCTATCTCCACAAGTGTTTGTGTTTTCTGGATGGATGGAGCGAATGGCTTCCTTTCTCTACTTTGATCTTAGGGTCTGGTTTTTACTATGCAAATTCAGAGTTCTCTCAATTTCACTGAATATTCTCCTCCCTCACAATTGTCAAGTCTTTATATTTCTAAAATGGTAGCAATACTTAACTATTTGTCATTGAAAATACATCCATTTAATTTAACATCTATTTCATTACCTCATTAGTGAATAATAGCTGTAATAAGATCTTAAAAAAATGCAGTCTTTTAAGAAAAAAAACGGTGTAATTAATGTTAGTCCTAAAAACAATGTTTTTCATTCTTACTTAGGAAATGGATTTCGTCTATAGGACCAGCATTTTATTGTTCATCCCTAATTGCCCTTGAATAAATTGGCTTTCTAGACCATTTCAGAGGGCGGTTAAGAGTCAACACATTCCTGTGGATCTGAAGTCACATGTACGCCAGACCAGGAAGAGGGGACAGTTTTGTTCCCTGAAGTATATTAGTAAACCAGATTGTCAATTGTTCGAATAAAAAACAATGTTACATGTTTGATATCAAATAAGTATTTTTATCTTCATTCCAGTTGACAGTTAATAATAAGCTCCCCAGTTGTTCAATGATTAACTCTGTGTTACTTGAATTATCATTAAAATACAGAAACCAAAAGGATTTCAGATCTCAGGTCCCAGAATAAGCTGAGTTAGTGATCTTGGGACTAACAGAGGGCGATAATAAACAAACAAACTCATGGCTCTTGCTGTCAGTGATCAGTAATATTTGCTAGAAAGTGTCTGTGTGACAGCTGAATGAAAATAAGAACTAAAATACTGCAGAAACTAGAAATCTGAAACAAAAGCAGAAAGTGCTAGAAAATTGGGAACCTCTGGCAATAAGCTCACCAATATCTGGTGTTGTACTGTTCACAGAGGGGCATTCCGTATTCCCATGGAGGACTCGTCCAAAGCTTGCAGCATAAATGACAAGGATAGTTTGGTTCTTACACTGGAGTTGTAGATCCTCATTTTCACATGCAAATTTGCTTTCATGTCCATCTGTAACATAAAAGGAGAAAATTGGATGAGGCTGGGAAACAGGGATGGGGTTTGGGCTAAATAATTCATTCATGCCTATTTGTTGTGATCTAAACTTCATGATCTAGCTAATTTCAGTGAGCCATAATGTCCTTCACTTAAGACTTGATCATAAACGAGCATTGTGGAAGACCGAGAGGTTTGCAAGGATGGGGAAGCAGTTGAAATGTGTATCACAGATGCCAATGGAAATGGGATCCTTGCCTTGAGATGCTGGGCTGAAGCATGCAGCAGGGGAAGAGGAGGAGGCCAAAGGTAGACCTTTGGGAGACTCTGGAAACATTTTTTTACTGAATAAAAAACATAGTGAGGTAGAATTTCCATGAAGCCATTTCTCCAGGGTTTCCAATGATTTTCTGCTGAAGTTATTGTGATTGTTAATTAGAAAATCCCTTGTGGAAATTCCAGGCTGATTTGTATGCAAGTTAAACTGTGAGGAATATTCCTAGGGAATAGGAACAGCAATATTTGAAATCAGGTCTGTTTGATATTCATGTTAAGATTTTCTTATGTGTAAGCCCAAACAATATGCTTGTTAACATTTCACAACAATAGTATTGTAAACATTCTTCCCCATCCCCTGACCCTCTCATATGCAATCTAATTACAGCACCATTGAGCGTTCCTTTCTAAAATACATTATCTGGTTTTGTACTTACCAGGTTTACATTTATATGAAACAATCAGATATTTGTTGGTCCCAGGACAGGGATCAAGTCCAAAAATCCGACTGTTGACTGAAAACTGGCAGGAGCGTAGGTCCTGACACTCATCATATACTTTCTGCAAGAAGGACAAATACTGTTTACTTTCCATGGTACATGGACAAACAAAAATGATCATGATGCACTGAACTGCCCATTAGATAAATAGCATTTTCTCATTTTTCTCCAGGAAGACTTCACCTGAAGTGATCCACAATAGAGAAACACATGTTTCTGGGTTACATCATGTGCCAGAATCCTCAGCACCATTCTGCACATGTTGTGATTTTTCAGCAAGTTGATGAAGTTGAGCTAATTCAGAACAAATTGCTTTTAATACGATACTCCTGACAGCAACAACTCTTATTGCATCAGGAATGTCAGTTTTAGGTATTGTTTGAAGATTACTGAAACAATGTCAGTAAGTTCCCACAGCAAAAGGCTCCATGCAAAGCATCATTTGTATCTTTGTCTAAGTGCATAGATACGTGTGATCTCAAAGCCTTGGTGAGAGGGCATCAAAGATGAGGACTTAATATAGAAAAGGACAAAAGTGATTTTGTGCACATTTTGGATGGAGTGTGGTCTTTAAAAATGCTGCTGGTTGGTTCCATTCCAGGCTCAACCTTCTCAGCTTCAATACCCCATTGCCTTCCCTGCTCCTCCACTGCAGCCCATTATTACCACTGCCTCTCAGTATGCATTTGCAGGAAGGCTCAGCATCTGAATTTGTCAGGCAGTGAAGATCAGCCTGGTAGGTGTGGATGATCGTTCCATCATTAATTGCCACAAATTTTGGGCATGGCACCTATCAATAAATAAATAAGTTATCTTTTTAAGAAAAGAATATTGCAATATAAAATCTCCTCTACTGCATAAATAGCACCTTTCTGTTACTTCAGTTTAATTAATAGAAACAGTGTGAGTTAAATTGCACTCTGGTAATTTGTTCTGCATGGAATTACATGGATTACATAGGATAAATGGCATGGAAACATACCATTCAATGCAAACCGTCCAAGCCATGTTTATGGTCCACAAGTCATAGACACAAACAGCATAGAAACAGTCTATGCTGACCAGGTTTCCTAAACTGAACTAAAATCCTGTTTGCCCCATATCCCTCTAAATCTTTCCTATCCATGTAACTGTCCAAATGTCTTTCATATGTTGTGTTCTCCATCTTTCCTCAACTAACTCTATCACAAATTTTTAAATGCTTGTTGACTACCATGGCAACACTGGCGTGTAAGCTGCTGACTCTAATTTAGCTGCTGTGGTTAAACTAAAATTCTTTGGACTTCCCCTGCCAGCGCAGGAAAAGAACTCCTTTCAGAACTCAACCCTAAAGAAGGGTCACTCGACCTGAAACATTAACTCCAATTTCTCCTCAAAGATACTGCCAGACCTGCTGAGCTTTTCCAGCAATTTCTGTCTTTGTTTCTGATTTACAGCAATTCTTTCCATTTTTAAAGGAACTCCTTTTGTAATTTGTAACTATCTCTTTCAGCCATTTCCATGGCCTAGGCCACATCGCAGGCCTTCTGCCATGTTAGTTTATTGACTTTTCTCAAAAGCGTGGCTGACTAATTGTTCTTTAGGTCTCCAATGAGCATGTTTCTAACTCTGTGCCACACTTGCCATACATGCAAGTTTCTTCAATTCAAGAATGTAATCTATCTCAATCTAATTTAGCACATGCTCCCTCTCATGGAATGCAATTCTCCAATGCAATCACATTCTTTATGCCATAATGAGAGTACAAAATTTTGTCAATTTCAGCGTATTTCTTTGAACTAAGGTCTCACAACAACATTGGTCAAAAATTGCAACAAAAACATCAGGCACTATCATGGTGAAGAAAGCGTTTAGTTTTTCATCATATGCTATTTTAATCATTTTCAGCAAGATGTGTTTGTTATGACACCAATCTTCTTTGTTAAAGTTGAATTCCCACATTGTCCTGAAATATGTATTCAGTGCTATTTTCTTAAATTGCTTACTATGCTTCAATATGATGTGTAAACATGAGCATTTCAAATTGCTCAAAGCTCCTCAAACTCAACTTTAGAACTCTCCAAGAAAGTATCAGAAGTTATTCAGACTTAATTTCTGAAATGAAGAGTAAACAAGAATTCTATTCTATTCTTTGTTATCTTTTTTGTATTGCTCTGAGAAAAGATTAACATGACCATGCATAGTAGATAGTCATTAGTGAACTGATATTGCTCTGTCTGTTGGAAACTGTAAGTAATGTCACAAAATGTTCAGATCTTAAATTTTACCACAAAACTCAAGTATTCTCCCAGGTATGTTTATTTAGTTTCCTCTTAACTGTATTATATTATCTACCTCAACAACTCCCTGTGGCAGAAAGTTTTACATTATCATCAGTCTCTGGTTAAAGATGTGATTTCTGAATTGCCTCTTTTTTTTGGTAACTGTATTCTAGTACTTATTTTGTTGCTTCCAGTAGAGGAACCAATCTCTCGCTCTGTCTACTCTATCAAGATCTTTCATGGTTTCAAAGATCTTTAATTAAGTCAATTCTCAGCTTCTGCAAAGAGACCAAAACCGTTAGTTGTTTATGATAGTCATAACTTCATGCTCCTAAATCTTTTTTACACCCTCTTCAGTTCCTCTATATGCTTTCCATAAAATGGCAAGCAGAATTGTACTCAATACTGTAAATGTATTTAACCAAGGTTAATTATAGTGTTATGATCCTAGGGGATAGTAATACTGGATAAGTTAGATTTCAAATTAAGATGAGTGTGATACATTTTTTTTAGTTAAGATGGTGTTCCTTCACTGCTTTCACAAGTTTCTCTCATAAAAGAAGTTTATTACATAAAAACAAAATGGAACAAGCTATAGAACACAGGAAAAATATCTGAAAACACCTAACAGAACAACATTACAATCTATTCCCCAAAATTATCACTTAACAGCAATTCAAATTCAGGGAAATTACACCTTTATATTAAATCTATAAGTTTGGGTATGAGATTCTGCCCAATTTCTTCCTGTAAGCTATGAAGTCTTCTTCCATTAATACTCACACAGCTGTGAACCCAGACTTTCCCAGCTTTGCATAACCTGTAAATTTCTAACCAAATGCTCCCAGTCTGAAAGCTTCACAAGCTAAACTTCTAGATTGAATTAACTGCGGTTTCCCGTGAACTGTGCCATATTCCTCTCTTTGTGAGAGAAACTACAGTTGTTTCCAACTCTAGTCAAATCTCTACTGAACTACCCATTTAATTTCTAGGTTTTCTAAGCTAAAATCAATGCTTGATTATCCTGAACCAAAAGCAAGCTAATAGTTTTCAATGTGGATGCTGTAAATCAGGAACAAAAACAGAAGTTGCTGGAAAAGCTCAGCAGGTCTGGCAGCATCTGTGAAGAAAAAAATTGGAGTTAATGTTTCGGGTCCAGTGACCCTTTCTCAGTTCTGACGCTGCCAGGCTTGCTGAGCTTTCTCAGCAATTTCTGTTTTTGTTCCAGTCTTCAATGTTTACTCTTCCTGTTGCAAGTCAGCATTGTAAAACAATCTTCTGTTAACACTCCAACTGTCGCTGTTCTCTGACACTGGATTTAATCACTGTTCCAGAAAGAGTATCTGATTTAGTTTAGTTTTTTTTTATTTTTTGAACACTTAAAAAAATTAACCATCTCTATATGCCACTCTTCTAAAATTCAAACTCCTAAAATTATTAATATATATAATGTAGACACTTCATCCCAATATATTTAGCATAACTTGTGCAATTTTCAATTCCATTCCTCTAGAAATAAGCCTTAGTGTTTTGTTTGTTTTCTTCTGTTGTAGTGATTTACATGTTTGTATTCCTGTACTTCTGGATTTCTGTACCCAATTTAGATTCTTGTTTTCCAAGTCAAATGTGATCTCCTTATTTATCTTGTCAAACTGCAATACTTCAACACTTTGCTGTGTTGAAATTCGTTTGTCAATATTATTTGCATGCTGCAAGTATTAGCATCCCCTTGTAAAACTTTCTTTAAAAAAACCCAAATTTGGTGGATCTGCAAGTTTAAAAATAGTATTTGTAATTAATTTGCATTTTCAAAATGGATGAAAGTTATATAACCCACCGGTATAGCAGTGAGGGCAGCACAATTGGTGCTTTCAGCAGAAGAGTTCCTTTTACTGGGACACAAATGTTCACTGGGGACACGGCGACCATAGAAAGCAGATAGAATGCTAATGGATGTCTGAGGTGGGCAGCTTACTGACAGACGATCTCCATCACACGCATGAGCTGTATGGTTCTGTAGAATTTTCAGAAGGTATCCTGGAGAATTAAAATAGATTACTGATGGTCTGAGAGATAGACCTATTATTAAAGTTGTGAACAACACATATCATTTAAACTGGTATTTTATACAATCAGCCTGCATTTTAAATTACACATGCCTGTCACATTGTGTCTCTGCCCTACCTCTCCTGCTCCTGGGATCTTGGGTACATTGTTAAAACAACATCATCATTTTGTAAATTGATATAACAAACATTTTCAACCTCACCAATGTTCTATCACCAATAAAAAGTTCACTTTTAGGTTTTCAAATCCCCATATAGTCTTACTCCAGCCTAGTGGAGGATTTTTTTAAGCTAAGTATCCCAGATCACTCCCACTGTTGCTCTGAATGCAGGTTACTGTTTGATCCCTATCAGAGATTCCTGTTTCAGCCAGTATGCTTGTAGCAATTAAAATATTTTACCTCCTGGAATAAAGGGGTTAACCCTCCTATTTTATTGGAGGAGGAGTGTGCACTTTCAGGATGGTGACCTGAAACCAGTGGACTACTACAAGGATCAGTGCAGGGGCCACAGTTCTTTACTTTATGTATAATGACTTGTTTAAGGAAAGTGAATGTACTATTGCGAGGTTTGCATCTGACAGAAAATATGTGGAAAGGCAAGTGGTGAGGATGACATAAAGAGTCTGCAGAGGGATATAGACAGTAAGCAAAATCTTGACAGAGGAAATGTAATGTGGGAAAATGTGAGGTTATACATGTTGGCAGGAAGAATAGAGGAGCTGAATATTGGTTAGCAGTAGAGTAACAGCTGGGTGGGAGGTAGGGTGCGAAGTAATGTGGCAGGTGATTGGAGGGTGGGGAGATAGGTGAGGGTTAGACCATAAGACCTTAAGAAATAGCCTACTTCTGTTCCTACTCGGCCCGTCAAGCTGACTCCACCAGTCGAGAAAATAATGAATGGTCCAATATTCCTCACATCCACTTTCCTGTCCACTTTTCTAACCCTTGATTCCCATACTGATCAAGAATCTATCTATCTCAGCCTTAAAGATACACAAGGACTCTGCCCTCGCAATTCTCTACTTGGCAAGGAATTTGAAAGACACTCAACCCTTTGAGAGAGGAAATTCCTCCTCATCTCAGATTTGAATTGGTACTTTATTCTGAGACTGTGTCACCTGGTCCTAAACACTCCCATGAGGGGAAACATCATCTCAGCACTTACTCTGTCGAGGTCCTTAAGAGCCCAATATTTTTCAATGAGATTATCTCTCATTCTCCTATCTTCTAAAATCCAGTGAGTACGGTCCCAAATCTTTGCTCATAAGGCAATTCCTCCATACCGGAGATCATTCTAGTGAACCTTCTCTGAAATGCTTCCAAGGAAACCGTATCTGAACCTTAAATAAGGGGAACAAAACTGCACACAGTGCTCCAGATGTAGTGTCACCAGCACCATATGGTTGCACTAAGACTTCTCTAATCTTATGCTCCAACTCTCTTCAAATAAGGGCCAACATTTCATTAGGCTTCCTGATTATCTGTTGCACCTGTATGCTAACTTTGTGTTTCATGCACAAGTAACCCCCAAGTCCCTTTGTCTTACAGCTTTATGCAGTTTTTCTCCATTTAAATAATATTCTGTTCTTTTGTTCTCTCTTCCAAAATGAACAACTTTGCATTTTCCTACCTCATACTCCATTTGTCAACTTTTTGCCCACTTACTTCACCTATCAACATACCTCGGTAAACTGTCGGTATCCCTCTCACAAACTGCCTTTCCACCTATTTTGTGTTATCTGCAAATTTGGCTTCAGTGCATTCACTTCCTTCCTCCAAGTCATTAATATGTATTTTAAACAGTTGTGGTGCCAGCACTGATCCCTGTGGAATCAGTGTGCCAGGTGGATTGGTGTAGGGCAGCATTTGATTTTGGTGGATAGGAAGTCGGGTGGGTGAGGGGTAGAGTGCTGGTGGGTGGCAAATTGGGGTGCCAGGGTGATGGACTAGGATGGCAGTAGATGATTGGTTAGCACGCCAGATGGGTGAAGGGGTAGAGTGGCAAATGGGTGAAGGATAGATATGCCATATGAGTGAGAGGCTAGGTAGGTAGGATTCTGGGTGTATCGGATGCAGGGTGCCAGGCAGGTGAGGGGTTTGGGTGGTGAATAGATGGGGTATAGGGTGGCTGACAGGGAAGGTGCATGTGGTTGGCCCTGATGTGGAACTCCTGTCCATACTGCTGCAATGACTGTCTTCCTATCAGCAGATCTGGGGCACACAGTCTGTACCTAACTAGTGTTGCATTTAAATTTTCTCTCCCTTGGCCTTGAATAATTTTGGTGACATAAGTAGAATGGCAGTATTTCTATTTTAGCAGGAGATGGAAATTTCAGATGAGTGCAAAGTACATTCATCATGTTTCCATGGAAACTAGCAGTCCACCGGAGAAAGCTCTCATCGTGCTCCTCCACACAATGTTTGCTTTTCATTTCCCCAGCAGCTGCAGCTGGTTTGGGTTTCTTCCAAGCAAACTCGTATTGCTGTACCAGCCACCTGGATATAATGGACAGTTGTACCCTGATCTGTCTCCTGAGTATTCCGGTGATGGACAGGTAAGATCAATGCCAGACTTGCCCAGGCCATCCAGTTCCTTTTTGATTTCCACCTATATTTTTTTCCCTCTTTTTGACACTGAGTCTCATGCAATTATAGAAATGTTAGTATTGGAAGATCATGCAAACAGCCTTTGTATCAGAGCTATCTATTGACTCCTTCCTTTCATATGCTTTCATATTTTTCTTCAATACTATGATTGACTTATAATCACATAGTGACGTACTCTATATTCTAATCATTGGCTGCATTATAAATTCTTTCTAAACATTCCTTTTTATGTTCTAGTGTTAAAGCTAAATTATGTTTTTATTCAGATATACCAGCCAAACTTTATTATTTATTCTTTCAACAATTCTATTAGCTACCTTGAATGACTCCTGCTCGACTTGACCCATCTCTAGTTTTATATTAAATCAATTTGTTTGGACATGTTATTACACACCCCAGTGCAATTCAGGTTTGAACCACAGTATTCTACCCCAGAGATAAGGGCAGTGCTGTTGCACCAAAAAGACCCTCCTGGTGTTTAATTATCCCATCACAACTATAACCTCTTGTCGTCTCCTGCTAATACAGAACTCGATTATTGGTGAGAAAAGAAACATAATTTGAAGCTTTTTGTCTTTTACCCACCAGGACAGATTTATGAATAACATATTGCAAAGGAAACAACAGTTTATAATATATGAGAAATGAGTATTGATTTGTTGATAAGAAGACTCTAAATGGTCAAGGAATTGCCTTGTAGCATGCACCAGAGAGCAATTACCCTCCTTTTTTTTTGTTTAATTGCAAAGAAGGCAAGTAAACTCTGATTTTTCAAAGCATTGCAGTGAGCCTACTAGAGAAAAGTTGCCCAAATGCTTTCGTTCATTAAAAAATATACTTTCTCTCTACTTGCACAGGACAAGGTCCTTTGTAACAGTATACATAGCTTCTAGTGAGTGCAATGAGCCCTCACATTGGAAGTCCAACTGATAATCTTATTGTTTTTCAGTGTTCTGCTCAGCACATCCAGGATTATACAGTAAGTGCTACCCAAACAGAGAATCAAATCTAATGATGGACATTGCATTCTAAGTTTTGTAAACATGGGTTAGTTATTACTTCACCTGTTGTGAACAGCCAATTATTGAGTTGTTTGTTTTGATTCACTAGTCATTGGAATGTACAGCCTACATACCTGCTGTTCCACCAACACTGCATTTCATATATCACATGACTAACTTGCATAGTGGGCAGAACATCTTTTTGGCTTGATGGCAGAAGCCTATTTGTGTAGATACCACACGTTGCAACTGTCTAACAATTGTTAGCTTCACTTGTTGCTCAAAATTTTGAATCATTTTATCTTTCCAATGAAATTTAAGACAGACTGGGCACTTTTCAGTACCTTAGTCTTAATTTCATCCTGGTAAACCAGAATTGAATGTTTTCTTTGGCTCCATTATTTATAATTGGATGCACAAAATAACCACACATACTCCACTCCTAGTATTGAAGGTACAATAATAAGAATGATCCCAACACATCTCCCTGGACACTTCATTAATTTTATCAATTTGAGAAACATTAATTTACTGTTTGCTTTCTACAGCTAGTTATTTCATTATAATTCTATTATATCACCTTTATCACCAAGACCTTCAATCTGCAATTTTTTCCCTATTTAGCACTTTATTGGAGATTGTGTTTTACAGCTGAGGTACAGTTCACGAGCAGTTGGCTGCCATTCATCACGTGGCTAAAATGGCCAACCTTAAAGTATGAGCTGTCAATTAGTGTTAATATATTATTCAATCATTGAAAACATCAACATTGTTAAACCCAATTTTGCCGTTGTTTAATATGCATGACTTTTTTGAACAAAACTAAAAAATGTTAAATCTAATTGATTTGACAGTCGCTCAAAGGAGTTTGTAACCAGACACTTCAGCAGAAACCTCTCTCATGAAATTGGACTGCTGGGACTGCTGGAACACTACCAGGCCCTGCGGTATCCACTTGTTGTAGAATGCTTCAAACACAATGGAGACCATCATACGTTCCCTCTCCAAGGAAACTAGTGTGGTTGTAGCCGGAAAGAAAGGCACAGTTGGGTCACACAAACTCCTTAACTGCCTTCTGTCTGGACCTGTTAATGACCTTCTTGATTAAAAAGTCTATTGTGCCTGATATTCTCAGGGGATCAATCAACCAAGTATTAACCTGATCTCATTCTGCTTAGCTTCTGAGATAACACACAATGAACAGATTCCAGATCAGTATGAGCAGAGGCCAAATATTTCTTCCTGCTTTCAACCTTCCTGGTGTGACACAAATGTGATTACTATTTTGCTGTAGACACTACAAGTAAATTCTGCTGCATCTGCTATCCCCAGGCAGCCTACATCCAACTATTAACCAGCTATGTTTATAGTTTTCAAAATTAGACGAAATCAATTTTCTCATCTCTTATAGCTGTGGCTTTTAATATGCACTTTCAAATATAAGCTGAAATCCTGACTGAAATTTCCTTTCCTGTCTAGGATCTTTGAGAAAAATTGTAGCTAGCAAGAGTGTTTGGTCTAGAAATTAGCTCCAGAATCTTGTGGTAGTTCTTGCTTTGCACATCTCCAAAAGCCTTTACCTACTTACCCATCAGACCCTGTAAGAAGAGGTAGCAGGAACTGCACATGCTGGAGAATCTGAGATAACAAGGTGTAGAGCTGGATGAACACAGCAGGCCAAGCAGCATCAGAGGAGCAGGAAGGCTGACGTTTTGGGCCTAGACCCTTCTTCAGAAATTCAGTCTAGGCCGGAAACATCAGCCTTCCTGCTCCTCTGATGCTGCTTCGCCTGCTGTGTTCATCCAGCTCTACACCTTGTTATCTCAGACCCTGTAAGAAAGCAGGTTTAAGATAAGGTTAAGATTCAAACATGACTGAAGGATTTTAGGCAGTAATCCAAAACATTTTCTTCTCGAATGTGAGCTGGCCTGACATTTTTAGAAAACATTGCATTAAAACTTGTTATTGACATCTCGTAGAATCCCTACAGCGTGGAAACAGGCCCTTTAGCCCAACAAGTTCACACCAAACCTCAGAGCATCCCACCCAGACCCATCCCCCTATTCTACACATCCCTGAACACTACAGGCAATTTAGTATAGCCAATCCACCTAACCTGCACATCTTTGGACTGTGGGAGGAAACCCACACATACACGGGGAGAATGTGCAAACTCCACACAGACAGTTGCCCAAGGCTAGAATTGAACTTGCGTCCCTGGCACTGTGAGGCAGCAGTGCTAACCACTGTGCCACCATGCTGCCTGTCTCGTTTTGAGGTGGAAGATTGCAACCCTATGCTGTGTTAAAACTGAAAAGAATTCTGCACAACAAAACATGGTTTTGCTTTTTATACATCCAAGCAAGCACTTACCCGAGAAATCCGGAGTAGTTTCAGATTGAGCACAGAGGTTAAACCAAAACAGTGATACAAATGAGAATCTCACTTGACATCTAAATTTTTTCAATGTCATCATACTGATGGATTGATAAAACTTCTGAGCGGTTATGTATTTTATTCTAGTGGGTGAATAATCATTTCAGTTTTTCTGTCGCATTTGGTGTCAGGCTCCCAGCAGCTGTGATGCTTTCACTGGTAAATGATGAATTGGCAGCTTTCTTTAACAAAGATCAGTGGCACACAGAACTAGATACCAATGATTTGTCATAAATTAGATAATGGGAGCTGTTTGTAAACAGTGTCACAAGACAATGCTCTACATTCAATATAACCCTTTACTGAAAGCTCTGCTTCTCCCTGAGATATTTTCAATGGGCAAAGGCAGTCCTCAAGTACTTTGTATGAGCAGCTATTCCGAACATAACAGTGAGTGTTGGAGGATTAAATAACCAGGCAAAATAGAGCAGCTGAGCTCTGTTGCTTCTTCACAGACATCTACACACCTACGTTTGCCAGCAGGCATAATAATATAACATAAAAAGTAGGAAGCCTGACTGATTCCTTCACAGAGAGAGTAGGGATGTAAAATGTTGAGTGTCTTCTAATGAAAGGTTATTGACCTGGAACACTGCACTAAGTTTTCCAGTAGACATGGGAGTTGTGATATTAGATCTATGTGAGATTCTGCTGTTTGCCTATGAGGCGAATGTGTCCACTGCACAACCTTCCAGGAGGCTATCGCCTAATTTGTTGCCACAAAGCTTGTTCTGCAGTTAAGGACGGTGGACAGGTTTCTGAGGCTGGAGGCCTGATCTGTGGAGCTGCGGCACAGCAGGCAGCCTGGCAGGGACAGGTAGGTGCAGGTAATGCAGAAAAGCAGCCTGATGGCATGTCAGCAGAACAATGCTGTTGGTTACATATGGAAATGCCAATGAATAAAGAGACTCAAAATCATTCCTGGGGCCCTGCCGGTTATGGGTGGAGACTCTCGCTCCAATGACTGCTTGACTTGCTGGCTGGACACCATATTGCAGGAGATGACTCCAGCAGCAAGGAATTACCAATGTATCTCAGAATGACTTCTTTCAAAGCTCTAATTGGATCGATCCACAAAACAGTGGATATCCAATCTTGCTCATCATCTTTCCTTAGAAAATTCCACATGATGTGGGAATGCAGGAGAACCATACCAACATAGTTTCCCTCTGGTTTAGCTGGCCTTCCTCCTCCAACACCAGTTTCATGGAGTGGGGTCAAAACATTCTGTGCCTTTACTCTGCTTCTTTCTCCACAGCCTGATCTACTGTGAATTTCCAGTATGTTCATTTTTTCCCCTCAGATTCACAGTATCCACAGTATTTTACAATTGTCACATAGGCTGCTATGGTACAAGGGAAGTATTACCTATTTGTTGATAATGTCTTCCAACTAATACTTTTGGAAAATGAACAACTACAGATACTGGAGATCTGGAAAAAATAACAAAACTGGAAATTCTGATCTGGCAGCATCTGTGAAAACAGCTTTAATGATGAGTACAGTAACCCATTTTTAGAACTGTTCAGAAGAAGGATCAACCAAGCTGGAACCAGTGTTCTAGAGAAAAGGATAAATAGGGTGGTCGCTAGGACTTTAGACTAGTGAAATGGGGAGAAGGGAAGGGTAAAATGACAGGAAATGTAATGGGAAATAGAAAAGGAAATGGCAGGTTAAAATTTATGCAGGAAGGTTTAACTACATCGAGGACTGTGAAGGAAGTTAAGAGGAAGGAAAACTCAGGAGATATTATTAATGGAGATGTTAGAATTCAAAAAGGTGTAAAAACCAGCATAAAGGTACTTTGCCTGAATGCTTGTAGCATTTGAAACAAAGTAGATGAGTTAACAGAACAAATTCTCATGAATGGGTATGATTTAGTAGCCATTACAGCGACATAGTTGCAGGATGGTCACAAGTGGGAATTGAATATCCAGGGGTATGAGACTATTCGGAAAGACAGACAGGAAGGTAAGGGAGGAGGCGTTGGTGTCTTATTTAAGAATGACATCAGGGCGGTAGTGAGTGATGATATAGGTTCTGTGGAGAATAAGGTTGAATCCATTTGGGTGGCAATCAGAAATTCTAAGAAGGAAAAAGCCAGTGATAGGAATAGTCTATAGGCCACCAAATACTAAAATCGCATTGGGACTGGCAATAAACAAAGAAATAACTAATGCCTGTAAAAATGATATGGCAATTATCATGGGGGATTTTAATCGACATGTCAATTGGTTGAACCAGGTCAGTCAAGGCAGCCTTGAGGACGAGTTCATTGAGTGTATCCGTGATAGCTTTTTTGAACAGCATGTAATTGAACCAACAAGGGAGGAAGCTATCCTAGATCTGGTCCTGTGTAATGAGACAGGGATAATTAATGATCTCATAGTTAGGGATCCTCTTGGAACGAGTGATCACAGTATGGTTGAATTTAGAATACAGATGGAAAGTGAGAAGAAAAATCCAATACTAGGGTCCTGTGTTTAAACAAAGGAGATTACAATAGGATGAGGGTGGAGTTGGCTAAAGTAGACTGGAAGCAATAACTCTATGGTGGGACATTTGAGGAACAGTGGAAGACTTCCAAAGCAATTTTTCAAAGTGCTCAGCAGAACTATATACCAATGAAAAGGAACAACTATAGAAAAAGGGGTAATTAGCCATGGATGCTTAAGAAAATAATCGAAGCTATCAGATTGAAAGATAAGGCATACAAAGTCGGAAAGACTAGTGGGAAACTATAAGAGTGGGAAAACTTTAAAAATCAACAGAAAGCCACAAAAAAGGCTATAAAGAAAAATAAGATTATGAGACTAAACTAGCTCAGAATATAAACACACAGCTAAGGTTTATCTAAACATATAAAACAAAAAAAGAGTGGCTAAGGTAAACATTGGTCCTTTAGAGGATGAGAAGGGGGATTTAATAACGGGAAATGAGGAAATAGCTGAGGTATTGAACACATATTTGTCTTCATAGTGAAGGACACAAATAACATGCCAGTAATTGATGACAAGGAGACTAAGGTGGGTGAGGACCTACTCACGATTATTATCACAAAAGTGGTAGTGTTGGGCAAGCTAATGGAGCTAAAGGTAGACAAATCTCCTGGCCCTGATGGAATGCATCCCAGAGTACTAAAACAGATGACGAGAGAAAAAGCAAATGCACTCGTAATTTTCCAGAATTTGCTGGACTTTGGGCAGTTCCAGCCGATTGGAAAATGGCCAGTGTAACACCACTGTTCAAAAAAGGAGGTAGACAAAAGATGAGGAATTATGGGCCGGTTAGCTTAACTTCTGTAGTGGGGAAAATGCTTAAATCAATCATAAAGGAAGAAATAGCAAGACATTTAGATAGAAATTGTCCCATTGGGTGGACGCAGCATGAGTTCATGAAAGGCAGGTCATGCTAGACTAATTTGCTGAATTCTATGAAGACATTACAAGCATGGTGGACAACAGGGATCCAGTAAATGTGGTGTATCTGGATTTCCAAAAGGCAATTTACAAGGTGTCGCACAAAAGGCTGCTGCATAAGATAAAGGTGCACGGCATTACAGGCAATGTATTAGCATGCGTCGAGGATTGGTTAACTAACAGGAAGGAAAGGATGGGGTAAATGAGTGTTTTTTCCTGGTTGGGGATCAATGACTAGTGGTGTGTTTTAGGGATCAGTGTTGGGACTGCAATTGTTTATAATTTACATTGATGGTTTGGAGTTGGGGACCATGTGTAGTGTGTGTAGGCTGACACTAGAACAAAAGGGCATAGCCTCCAAATTCGGGGGACCAGATTTAGGAACAAATTGAGGAGGAACATCTTTACCCAAAGGGTTGTGAATCCGTGGAATTCCCTTCCCGATGAAGCAGTTGAAGCTTCTTCATTGAATGTTTTTAAAACTAAGGTAGATAAGTTTTTGAACAGTAAAGGAATTAGGGGTTGTGGTGAAAGGGTGGGTAAGTGGAACTGAGGTCATGATAAGATCAGCCATGATCTTATTGAATGGAGGGCGGGTTCAGTGGGCCAGATGGCCTACTCCTGCTCCTGGTTCTTATGTTCTTACATTCACTGGACTGAAAATATTAATGCTGCTTTCTTTTCACAGATGCTGCCAGACATGCTGAGTTTCTTCAGCAATTTCTGTTTTTGTTAATTTTGTGAATTTTTAAAAATTCTCTTTTAAGTATTGCTGAAAAGAGAGACATGTTGTCAAACTTATCACTTTGCACTTATCGGGGCAAATGCAAAGATACCAAATTTTAAAGAATCACTATAGCTGAAACTGCAGGAGAAAAAGGTGCTGAATGGTTGGCCTGCCAGTTCTGAAAGACTGGGGCATTACCATCTGATAATGGACCATTAATATTTAAAGAGAAATCCAAAATTCTTGTTTTAAGCAAATGAACTATAACACAACATTTCACTTTTTTTTAAACAAAACCATTTTATTGTTGTAAATAGAATGATGAAATAAAACAAGAATTATTAATATAGCAAAATGGTTTATAACTACAGTACATATGTTGTACACTCCGGATTACTTTCTACTTCCCACTTGCCCCAACAATTTCTTTCTAAGAAACATTAATCTTTAATTCTGTACAGATCAACCATAAGAATGGATGGGGTAATCCACCTCTTTAATCAGGCTAGTAGAAATCTGAAGAATTGTGTAAAGTTAACAATAAGAAGTTTGTTGCATTGCTGTAAACTGTACAGGTTAGATGAGTACTTCTAAGAATGTGGCTGTTCGTGGCAGAAGTCTTCCATGTCTCATCATTGACTGTCTCAAATTTGCTCATCCTTGAACTGAGTTTAAAATTCTACCATATTGTGATCGTTAATATCTAGAGGATCGTGAACTTAAACAGCTCTTATTAATCCTACGTCGTTGTATGTTACAAAGTCTAAAATAGCCTGTTCCCAGGTAAGTTCTGCAACGTATGGCTCTAAGAAACAATCCCTCATGCACTCTGCAAATTTGTCTTCGAAGGTAGCCTCGCGCATTTGAGTTATCCAGTCAATACGCAGGTTAAAA